CGGCCAGCAGGGGGCAGTGCCGCACACACAGATAGACACAACCCACAGCAACCCCTCTACACGCACACACCCCACATAGCAACCCCCAACAACCCCTCAACACACACACAGCCCCCAACAACCCCTCTATGCATAGACCCCACAGCAACCCCTCTACACACACACACACACACACACACACACCACAACCCCTCTACACACAAACACATTCACACCCCACAAACCCCCACAGCAACCCCTCTAAGCACACACACCCTACAACCCCCAACACCACAACCCCCAACAACCCCTCAATGCACACACACAGATACACACACACCCCACAAGAACCCCTCTATGCACACACACACACACACACACAAGCCGCACAACCCCCAACAACCCCTCTACACACACACACACACACACACACACACACACACACACAGACAGACACAGACACACACTCACGGGGGGCGTTTTCTGCGACAGCTCGCGGTTCAGACGGTCGGTGAAGCCCTGGAGCAGCGTGTTGCCCCCGGTCACAATGACGCTGCCGTAGAGACCCTGGGAGTCACGGGGAGATGGTTAGTCCCGGGCCCCTCTCACCCCTGGGTCCCCCACCCCCGGTGCCCCCCCGGCCCCATCTCCCCCAGCGTCCCGCCTGCTGACCAGGTGCCCCTCCCCACAGGCCCAGACTCCAGTTGCGGGGGGCCCCGGGGCAGGGGGGAGCGAGGGGGGGTCACGCACCGGCCTGATGTCGATATCACACATGCCGATGCTGGTGGTGACCACGTGGCCGACGCCCAGCATGGTGTTCCCGGAGAGACCCTGGAGAAGGGGAGAGAATCGGGGGGAGGGTCGTTAATGGGGGGGCCCTTCTGCCCTCCCCCCGGACTCCCCCTTCCTCAATATCCCACCACCATCTCCCCCCAACTCCCAGCCCCGCCCTGGACAAGGTGCCCCCCGGGGGAAACTGAGGCAGGGAGCGATTAAAAAAGGCAGGGGTTCTGGGAATGGGGGGGTGGTGGTTAGAGCAGGGGGGGCTGGGAGCCAGGACTCCTGGGTTCGCTCCCCGGCTCTGGGAGGGGAGCAGGGGCTGGTGGTTAGAGCAGGGGGGGCTGGGAGCCCGGACTCCTGGGTTCTCTCCCCGGCTCTGAGAGGGCAGTGGGGGCTGGTGGGTCAGAGCGGGGGGGCTGGGAGCCAGGACTCCTGGGTTCTCTCTCGGCTCTGGCTGGGGGGGGGGGGGGGCTCACCTTGACGTTGGAGGGGTCGAACAGCCCCTCGGGGATGCGCAGCCGCTCGGCCCCGTAGTCCGTGTTGTAGCCGTTGGGCATCTCGTAGTGCACGGTGGGCATCTGGGCGGCCACCCTGTGGGGAGGGGGCAGAGAGGGGGCAGTGCCCCGCCGCTGTCAGGAGAGAGGCGGTTTCCCCCGACTGCCCCATCCCGACAGACCCCACCCCCCAAGCTGAGTGCCCAGCCCCCCTCCCTCTGGCCAAGCCCCAGGGCCCCCCCTTCCTCCTCCCCTCAGTGCCCCCCCCAGCACTCACTGCTCATCATATGGTGAGTCGGAGACCTGTAGCACCGAGGCCTGGAAATCCTGGATCACCTCCTGGGGGGGCGGGAGAGTATGTGGGGGTCACCGACTGGGGGAGAGAACCCAGGAGTCCTGGCTTCCAGCCCCCCCGTTCTAACACACCAGCCCCCACTCCCCTCCTAGAGCCGGGGAGAGAACCCAGGAGTCCTGGCTCCCAGCCCCGCCCCCCCACTCTAACCCATCAGCCCCCTCTCCCCTCCCAGAGCCGGGGAGAGAATCCAGGCGTCCGGCCCCCTCCCAGCTCACATTGCAGGTGTAGTTGTGCCAGGATTTGGAGACCTGGGGCAGCTTCTCCTTCTTCTTCCAGTTGGGGGGGGGCCCCCTCACGCACAGGGTCCTGGGGGTGGCAGAAAGATGGGCCAGGGGGGAGCCGTGAACCATTCCCCTCCCGGACCCCCCAAATCCCCCCAGCCCCTCACCCCCATCAACCCCCTTCCTCCCCCTCATTTCTCCCACTTCCTAGATTCCTGTTTTCCCCCTGCCCGGCCGCCCGCCCCGTCCCTTCCTGCCCCCCCATGAGGGACCCCCCCACCCCGCACCTTGGCAGCGATCATGTAGGGGGGCACGATCTCGATGTTCATCTCCTGGAAGAGCTCCCGGCACTGCATGGAGATGAAATCCCCGGCCAGCGGCGACTTCACGATGCCTGGAACCCCCCAGAGTCGGACATGAACCCAGGAGTCCGGGCTCCCAGCCCCCCCGCTGCCCACTCCCTTCCCAGAGCCGGGGAGAGAACCCAGGAGTCCTGGATCCCAGCCCCCCGTGATCTGACCCACCAGCCCCCACCCACTCCCAGAGCCGGGGAGAGAACCCAGGAGTCCTGGCTCCCAGCCCCCCCCCTGCTCTAACCCACCAGCCCCCACCCGCTCCCAGAGCCGGGGAGAGAACCCAGGCATCCGGGCAGTGCCCACCTTGCTGCAGGATGTAACCGTCGTGCACGGGGATGGCTGTGGTGTGGGTGGCGCCGCTGTCAAGCACCAGCCCCGTGCTGCGCCCGTTGGCAAAGCTGGGGGGCATGGGGGGGTCAAGGGGGCAAGACGATTCCTGGGGTCGTGGGAACTCCCTGCCACTGGAGCGGGCGCCCGCCTCGTACCCGCTCTCAGCGCCCCTCTCTGTGCTCTACACGTGCCCCCCACAGTGCCCAAGGTGCCCGCTGCTGGACCCCATGCCAGGGTTCCCCCCATTTTCCTCCTGGCCCCCCAGATCTCCCCTATAGCCCCCCAGTCCCTGCCCAGCTCCCCGCATCGCAGGCCCCCACATGTCCTCTCCAGCCTGCCAGCCCCATCCCAGTCCCACACCTTGCCAGCCGTCCCCCCTCCAGCCCTCCAGATACTTCCCAGTC